GTTTCACATCCTTCTCTATGTCAAATTCCAAGCTGACATGGTCACTATTCTCCAAGGATCCCACAACTTTCACTTCATCAACCAGTTCTTCCCTTCATGTCAGAGGTACATACCATGGTCCAGGAAGCCAAATCCCTCTCAACGGCACCATCTACATAGCCAGCCCTTCACCTCCAGTATCCTGTTCTCCCTTCCAGCTCCATGGCCCTCAACAGGTAAAATGGAAATCTTTCACCTTCTTGCACAGAGCCTTGTAGTCTTTGGAGATCCATTCAAGGTTTCTTCAGGCCGTATCGTTTGTTCCCACATGGATCAGCAGGAGTGGGTAGCGATCAGAGGTCTTGACCAGTCTTGATATTCTCTCAGTCACATCTCGGATACATGCTCCAGGAAGACAACAAACCTCTCGAGATTCCTTGTCTGGTCTTCCATCCCTCTCAGTCACCAACCACCATTACTCATCTCTTCCTCCGTGGGATAGCTTGGTTCCTTCTCTGCCTATGTGCTTGTGTGTCAGTCACTTCCTTTTGATCTCGGAGTGTGCTATTCTGATCTTCCATCATCAGAAGCAACTGGTATCGATTTTGCAGCTCCACTGGCTGTGAGTGTTTCCTGATTATCTTACTCCTCAAGGTCACATTCTTCCACTCACCCAGCTGTTCCTTGTTACTTCCTTCCTCTTGCTCAGGATTTGCTAGCTCTTGCCATTCTCTCAGGAGCCCCTCTTCCTTCATGTCTAAAAAGCTTTCTGCCTCCCTGATGTTCCTCAGTGTACAGATTTGTGCCTCGAGTTCTCCCACCTTCTCCTCAAGCATTCTTATAAGCTTGCACTTGCAGCATGTGTAATGCATTTCACGTCATGGCAGAAAAATGATCATGGCGCAACCCACACAGGTCACTGGAATAGATCCTTCATTATCCATCTTCCTTGGAGCAATGCTATCTTCTACAGCCTCAGGAACTGTCCTCAAACTCTGACATAAACTTGTTGTGGTGATGTACCCTGAAAACTTTGAGACTGATCAAATAGCTACCTTGCCAGCAGTTCTCTCAGTCGCAGCCCTCTACTCAGTTTCTTACAAGGCCTCCAAGCAAGACCCACAGGCTAAGAGCCACAGGGCAAGAGCTCTTTGGTTATCGCCCTTCGGCTCGTGCCTCTGGCGAGGAGCAGCCCTTTGTTTCAAAAGGCCCCTTCCTGCCCAGCACAGCAGAGCCCAGCACAATAGGGGGCGGGGCTTGCAATCAACAGCACTCCACAGCAACTCACTCAGCCTCCAACAACCCCCAAAGCACAAACAGCCCCAAACAGACTTAAACAGAACCACTCTCAATCAGACTACAAAGAACCCAACTCTCTCTCAGCTCCCACACAGCAACTAGGAATATACAAATATATTGGTTTGTATATGTACTTGTCCAGATTACCTGAGAATTTAGAGGGTGGGATTTGGGCCCTAATCATTAAGCTTGACTTCAGAATGCTTGGGATACAGGAGTAATTTTGTGACTGGGTGCTGTTTCATACATTATCCTCAGTGCAGAAAACGTGTACTTGGTCCC